TTGAGGATTCTGGACCGTAAACCATTTTTCTATCTCTGGGCTGTATGCATTCACACACTTCACCGTCCTACATTAGCATTGTCTCCCAGGCCCATACGTTATGCTCCTAACGGGGCAAACTGTAAACACTGGGATTTTCGGTTTCAGGAGGATTTGAGTTTACATAATGAGTTTGTTATCAGATCGTTTGGTCTCTGTTAGAGAAAAGATCCAAAGACTGGGGATGCTGTTCATCCCAGAGGAGTCTGACCTGCAGGAAAGAGGCTGAGACAGAGCCCAAGGTCAAGCAGTCAGAGCTGTGCAGGGAGACAAGAACCCAAGTAGGACAAATCTTACTAATGATACTTTGCTAACCCACTTAGACTGAACCAACACCCTAGTGTGCACTCAGGTGAACCCTACATGGACAAGGGAGTGGTGGGGTGTTGGAACACTGCTCAGAACCCCTCCACCACCCACAGCGTAACACATCTAGCAGTCTGAGCAGCTCATGGGATTTCTAAGGGAAGCGCCGGAGCTGGGAGATTAACTATCAAAAGATTCTGTCTGCCTATGGTCATGGAGAAGCGGAAGATGGAAAAAGAGAAACCGTAGGAAGAGCCACTGACCTCTGGGGCCCACGGAAGACTTTGAACAGAGTTTTAATTCTGAATTAGAGAGAAAATAGGGATCTGGAAATAGAGAGAAAAACATATCGGTCCTTGGAAGAGAGGGGAAATGAAAAGGAGACCAGCAAGCAGTCTGCCCAGGGGGATAATTGGAGTTGGAATTTATTTTATTTTATTTTATTTTATTTTATTTTATTTTATTTTATTTTATTTATTTGACAGATAGAGACAGAGAGAGAGGGAACACAAGCAGGGGGAGTGGGAGAGGGAGAAGCAGGCTTCCCGTGGAGCAGGGAGCCCGATGTGGGGCTCGATCTCAGGACCCTGGGATCATGACCTGAGTCGAAGGCAGACGCTTAACGGCTGAGCACCCCAGGTGCCCCGGAGTTGGAATTTCTTGTCTCGACACCACTCATCCGGTCTTCTCACTTGTTAGCATGATCCAATACACTGGCTGAGAAACACTTTTCTAGTCTCTGCTCTACACTGCTTGGTGATAAACACAATGGTTTTTGAGAGACCTGAAATACAGCGGTTACAGTAATACCACCTGGGTACCAACGTTTCAGTCATCAAAAAGTGGACAATGTGCAACCCTCCTGAACTGTCATATATCCAGGATCAACACGTTCCACGTCCTATTTTGACGATGCAATGCTCTAAGTCAAGACCCCCAGCTTAAGTAAGGAAGCATTTTACATACACAGTGCCTCGATTTCCCCCTTTGCATAGAAGACCAAAAAAACCCAAAAAACAAAAAACACAAAACCCACGCTAAATGGAAATGGAGCACCCCCTGGCCTCCACTAGCAGCGGAATCACACGGCCTAACAGCTAGGGAGTTCCCAAGATCCATAAAGACTAGATGACAAACACACAAGAGGTCAAGCAGGTGCCTCTGGAAACAGCCATTCGAGACACATTCTGTGCCTCAGCCCTGCCCTCACCTCTTGTTCAGGGCTCTGTGCCCCTGATGGGAAAGAAAGAACCTGAGTGCTAAGAGATAGAGTGCAAAGAGGACATTCTCTCCTCTTCACCAAGCCAAAGAGGTTTGCCGAGTGGTAAAGACCTACTCCTTCTGCAGTTTTCTTCTCAACTGTCATGGCGTCAGCAGGTTTTATGGGAGGAGGGATGAGGGAACGGACAGGCGCACTACCCAGAGCAATTTTTGGATGCAATTATGAGACTCCACTGGCTCTGCTTTAGGATCTGCAAGTTGGAGCAAGTTGCCCTGCACTTAGAGGAGGGATTAACTAAACCAATTTCATCTAAATCAATTTGCACTGTTCAGATGATATATTCATGAAGCAACCGAGTCACCCTGATTTGTGGCACTGCTTCCCAGGGGTGGCCTTGCAAGGTAGAACATGCTAGATGAGAAGTCTAGTGGTCACGAAAGAGGGAGGGAAACAATCACCCCTTCTTGTGCCTGGCCTCTCCCCCTGCCTTGCTCCTCCCTGTCCTACTCCTGGAGCTGCAAGTAAGGAAGTAGGCCTCAAACAAGCAGGAGGCCAAAGTGCTAGGCCAAGACTGGGGCCTCAGCCCGGTCAGCAGAGAACTCTGCACATTGTAGATGCTTAATAAATATTGTTGACTCACCGCTGCTAGATGCTAATCATGCTTGTATTGCCATGCCTACAATTATTTATGCCACTGTTCAGTAGAAATTAACTAACTGCCCCCATATAGGCTAAAAATGGGTGAGGTTATGTTTTCAAATGAGTCTGACTCAGACTGTTAGGTTGGAGTACATTAGATATGATTCAAGCCTCGACTTAAAATAATCACCATTACTCTGCATGCCTAGTTTTATGCATGTTTTCATTCAGTTGTACATGCATTAGGAACAACAAAAAAAAGGAGTCCTGAGTACGGTGATGGATTTGGCTCCCAGGGGGACTAATAATGGCAAGTTAAGGTTTCCAGTAAACGAGGGTTCCTCCTTGCACCCAGTCAATCTATTATCCCAATAAAAGGTAAATGAGGTACTTTATTTGAAAAGTGTAATGCTAAGGGTTTATAGAACCCTTTCATCTTCAAAGGACCAAGCCGAGACTCACAATACCCAGTACACAGTATTATGCCTTTTACACAAGTGCCTCAACTATGAAAGAAAGGTCACAGGAATGTCCTAAGGCCATGAAGCCAATGTAACATCAGATTTGGGATAAGCCCTCTGATCTTCTTGACTCCTAGACCTGTATTTCAACCACATAAATCAAGTTGTGAGGAACAGTCAGGAAAGATCTAATTCACATTTTATATCTGTATTAAGCTAATTGATTGGACAGGAATATATAAAAATAGCCAAGACTGTTTCCCCCTTTGGGCAGTTAGTATGAGTGGAGTCGGGTGAAGAGGGGGACGTGAGGGTTGGGGTAATCAGCTGAGGTTAAGCCAGAAGGAGGGGAGGAAAGCTCCCTATTCAGCATGCCCCTTCTATTGGAACATCGCCAGAGAAGCGATTAGAGTCCTGGGAGGGAACAGAATAGGGTTAAAGGCAGCCCTTATGGCCCAACTTGAGAATCCAAGGAATCAACCCACACACATGACTTGTCTATTTCAACAGACTCCACTATATTCCTGTATAAGGGCTCCTCCTCACAGACACACAACCATCACTATCCACTCGCCCCACACTCAGAAATCCTCAAAAAGGCAAATGGGTTGAGAAGCAAGAGGCTGCAGGGCCGGGCGGCAGGCGGAGTGCACAGGTTGGTGGGGGGCAGTGTAGGGGACGGATAGGGTCTGGTGGGAGATCTGGGTGGGCAGGTAGATGCGTGACGGCGCAGGAAGAAGGCAAGTGAGCGCGAAGGCGGGTAGGGGAGTGTGGAAGAGAGAAAGTGAAGAAACTAAAGGCCCCAGGATCCCAATTTCCTGCTCTGCGAAACAGCAACAAAAAACAACAACAAAACAAAACCAAAAAGAAAAAAGAAAAAAGAAAAACCCACAAAACCAAAAAACGCCTCCAGAGAAAGAACGCACTACACACCAAGTACTAAGTAACCTAAACCTTAGCATCACCAAAAATGTTTCTGTAAATCCACTCCGCCGCTGTTTACTTAATTCTTAGGAGCCAGGAATGGAAAAACCCCACCTCTCCCCGGTTCGGTCGCAATCTGTCCTCTGGACATAGGTAAGTTCGCCCTCTCCCCCGCTGGGCTGGTTTCACAGCTAGGCCAGAAATAGGGAACCACCCAGACGGAGACTGGAGGATCGCTCCCCTGGCAGAAAAGGGATTAAGTTTCGCCGGGCCTCCCCGCCGGCGGGGTGTCCGCAGCATCTCGGGCTGCTGCAGCTGCCACCCCGGGCGGAGGGCCGGCGGAGGGGCGCCGCCCGGCCGAGGAGGCTGCGGGCCGCGGGAGCGTGGGAAGGCGGCCGTGCCCTTTCCCAGACTCGCGCCCAGGCGCCGGGGGAGCCGCTCCACTGCCCTGCGCCGGGCCGGTCGCGGCGCTGGAGGCCTCGGGCCGCCCCCGCCCCGCACCCTGGAGTGCAAACTCCGTCCCAAGAGGGCAGCGACGGGCGCCCGGGCCAGGCCGGGGAGGTGGGGGGGCGGGGGGAGAGGCCGCCGCCGCCGCCGCCACCTCGAGCCTCGCGGGCCCCGTCACCCTGCCCCGCCGAGCCCCGGAGCCCTCGGCCCGCGCCGGGCCCCCGCGGCACCTGAGAGGCGGCCGGAGCGGGAGCGGGAGCGGGAGCCGAGCCCGGGCCGTGGCGGGCGCGGGCGGTGGCGCTCGGCTCCCGGGGCCGCGGCGAGGGGGCGCGTTTTACCCATAGCGTTCCCGGGTGCCAGCCATCTCCTCGGCGCGCCCGAGGGCGCCGGGCGCTCGCCTGCCTCCGCCGGGAGCTGGCTCGGGCTCCGGCGCGAGCTCCCCGGGCCGCCGCCGCCGCCGCCGCCGCCGCCGCTCTAGGCCGCCGCCCGCCTTCGCCGCCGCCGCCGCCGCCGCCGCGCAGCAGCCGGGATCCGCCCGCCCGCGCGCCCCGCCAGGGACAGCACGGCGGCTGCGACGCTACCGCAGCTGGGTCTCCTGAGCCAAACTTAAGAGTTTTCGCCCCTTAGTCCAGGGGCAGCACCATGACACCGCGGCAGCACCACACTGTCATTTCCGCCGCCGCAGAGGGAAAAAAAAAAAAGGCGATCCCTACGAAAAGGGGGGTGGGGGGCAAACAGGGCTGGGGCTGACGCCCCGAGGAAGCACTGGGAAGGGCCCCCGGCAGCAGGGGCGCCCGGCCACCTTCCCGGGCTCACCTTCCGCCGCCCCCGCCGCTCCCAGCTCCCCCAGCCCCTCCTGTGGAGGCGCGTTTACATGTTTTCTCCCCTGGCAGGAGTGACCGGAGAAACCTGAGCAAGCAGAGGCAGCGGGTGGGTGGGGTTCGGGTTACTACTGTACCTACCAGCTGATTCCAGCAGCCTTTTCTCCAGCGCCCTGTCATCTTGAAGGAAGACACACCGAGAGGGGCCCGAGCGGGCGCGCGTGCGTGTGTGTGTGTGTGTGTGTGCGTGTGTGTGCGCAAAAGAGAGAGAGAGAGAGAGCGAGAGCGAGCGAGCGAGCGCAGGATGTGTGTGAAATGCAGAAGGAAGACTATGGCCAAACTCTTCTCCCACCCGCCGAACCCCTGGTCCCACAAGCCACCAGGTTAGAACAAGGAAAAGGCCATTGCAACCGGCAATGAGAAGAGAGTGCCTAGGTCCACCGCGCTGGTCTTCAGATGAAGCTGCTCTAAATGCAAAGTTAACTACAGAGTAAAACAAAAATAGTGGAGGAGACAGAAAAGGGCAGACAATTGAAGGAAACCCAACCCCTCTTTCTTTTTACAAGGGGAGAATGCCTGTGCTTCATTGGCCTTGGGCAGAAGTTGTGGGGATGGATTAAAGCCACCAAAATTTAAAAACAAAACAAAACAAAAGAAAGTAGGGTTTCATTTGCACATTCAGATCCTTGATGGGCGAAACAAGAGGGTCCTTAAAGAGGACAATGGGACAGATGCCAGCTATCCAGGTACAATGTCCCTAATAAGCTAATTGGTCCATCTGGAAGCCAGAAGCCTCATTGGTCTGGAGTCAGCCTCTCAGCTGACCTGTCATTGGCTCAGAGACCACCACCCCACTCACAAAGAGGATGGGAGAGGAAACAAGGAGGATGCCCCAGAGAAGATTCCGCACCTGACATGGGATAAAAGGAGGAGATGAAGGGGAAGGAAGAGAGAAGATGAAGGAAACACCCCCCTCCCACAGAAGCCTGCCATTACTGTGCATGGGAACGAGTCCAGAAAAATTAAGGTAGCTCTGGGAGTATCCCATCAGGGAACCAATAGTAATTAGCCAACACCCCTGTTAAACAATGCACTAGAGAGCGCTGAGGTGGAAACAAGGCAAAAATCACAACCAGGCTATCCTGATGAAAATCTGACCCTAAGAGAAATAAAAGTTAATGAGTCACACCAAAAGCACAGGCAACGAAAGCAAAAATAGACAACTGGGACTACATCAGACTTAAAAACTTCTGCACGGCAAAAGAATTAACAGTGGGGGAGAAAATGTTGGCAAACCATATGTCTGATAAGGGGTTAGTATCCAAAATATATAAAGAACTCCTACAACCCAATAACAAAACAAATAACCCAACTAAAAAATGGGCAAAGGACTTGAATAGACATTTCTTCAAAGGAGATAGACAAATGGCCAAGCATATGAAAAGATGCTTAATATGACTAATCATCAGGAAAATGCCAATCAGAACCACAATGAGGTATCGCCTCACACCGGTTAGGATGGCTGTTATTTTTAAAAAAAACAAGCCAACAAACAGAAAGTAAGAAGTGCTGGCGAGGATCTAGAAGAATTGGAACCCTTGTACACTGTTGCTGGGAGTGGGAAATGGTACAACTGCTCCAGAAAACAGTATGGAAGTTCCTCAAAAAATTAAAAATAGAACTACCATATGATCCAGCAATCCCACTTCTGGAAATATAGACAAAAGAATTGAAAGCAAAATCTCAAAGAGAGATTTGCACCCTCACATTCACTGCAGCATTATTAACACTAGACCCGAGGTCGGAGCAACCTACAAGCCCAGGGGCAGATTAAAGGATAAAGAAAAGGTGGCATATACATGCAGTAGAATGTGGCATATTCATGTCAGCCTTGGAAAAGGAAGGAAATCTTGGCATATGCTAGGACATGGATGAACCTCGAGTATCATATGCCAAGTTTTGAAACAAGCCAGTCACAGAAGGACAAATACTGCATGATTCCACTTATAGGAGGCATCTAAGACAGTCAAACTCATAGAAACAGAAAGTCGAATGGTGGGTGTGGTGGGGAGATGTTGTTCTATGGATGTGGAGTTTCCGTCATGCAGGACTTGGGTGAGTGTGTGTGGCGGGCGGGGGGCGGGGTGGTAGTTCTGGGGAATCTGTTGCACAACAATGTGCACGTGGCTGACAATGTGGAGAGGGTGAATTTTATGTCATGTGGTTTTTGCCACAATAAAAAAATTTATTTTTTCAAAAGCTGAGTCAGAAGGAAACTGATCCTGGCATAACCGAGGAGTGGATAAATACGAATTATATATATGTCGTCTCTCTCTCTCTCTCTCTCTCTCTCTCTCTCTCTCTCAGGTTGTTAAATGAAAACAGTAAGTGGTGTATGGTTTGCTACTATGAAAAGCTGATTACACTGGTTGCCTGGGGGTCAAACATAGGAGGTAGTATTTAACATTGTATACGCCCTTTTGTACTGTTCACGTTTTTAATAATGTCCCTGTATTACCTTTTTAAAAACAATTTTAAAAGAACAAGGAGCATAGAGACAGAAAATAGAATAGAGGATACCAGGGACTGAAGGGAGGGGAGAATAAGGAGTTAAGTATTTAGTGGTTACAGAGTTTCAGTTTGGAACGATGACAAAGTGCTAGAACCAGATAGTGTTGGGACTTACACAACCTTGTGAATATACTAATTGCCACTCAAAAATGGTTAGAATGGCAAATTTTATGTGATGTCTATTTTACCACAGTAATATTTTTTTAAAATTTAAAGAATAAGGACGTATACAGAACAAGTAGAGGTTGTGGTGTTTGTGTAAGAAAATAAATATACAGTTGACCTTGAACTGCGTGGGTCCATTTATGCACAGATTTTTTTTACAGTGCAGTACTGTAACCTATTTTCCTTATGATTTTCTTAATCACATTTTCTTTTCTCTAGCTTACCCTAAGAATACAGCTGTATTGTCGGGCTGCCTAGGTGGCTCAGTGGTGGGTTGGACTCTTGATTTCTGCTCAGCTCATGATCTCAGGGTTATGAGATCGAGCCCCATGACTGGGCTCTGTGCTCAGTGGGGAGTCTGTCTGAGATTCTTTCCCTCTCCCTCTGCTCCTCCCACCCCCACTACTGCTCTCTTTCTCTCTCTCTCAAATAAATATTCTTAAAAAAAATCCAGCTATATTGTACACCTGAAACTAATATAACACTGTATGTTAACGGTACTGGAATTAAAAGAAAAACTTAATAAAAATGTAGAACAAAAAAATATGGTATATAATGCATATAACATACAAAATATTTGTTAATCGACTGCTTACGTTATCGGTAAGGCTTCTGGTCGACAGTAGGCCATTAGTTACATTTTGGGGGAGTCAAAAGTTATACACGTATTTTCAAGTGCACAGGGGTCTGGGCCCCTAACCTCTGCGTTGTTCAAGTGTTAACCTACATAAATGCAGGTAAATGCATAGAAAAGAACCTGGGAGCACATCTAGATAGCGGGAGCCTGAAATTATGGTGGGTATTGAGAGGATTTTTCAGGTTTGAGTCTATATATTTTATAACTGTTTGACTATCCTGCAATGAGAATTTCTCTTGTAGTTAAACATTTTTTTTTAATTTTTTTTTTTTAAGATTTTGTTTATTTATTTGACAGAGAGAGACACAGCGAGAGAGAGAACACAAGCAGGGGGGTTGAGAGAGGGAGAAGCAGGCTTCCCACAGAGCAGGGAGCCCGATGCGGGGCTTGATCCCAGGACCCTGGGACCATGACCTGAGCTGAAGGCAGACGCTTAACGACTGAGCCACCCAGGCGCCCCTAAACATTTTTTTTTTTAAGTTATGTCTCAAAAAAAAAAAACAACCCAAGTTGAGTCAGAAGTCAATCGATCCCTTAGAATTCTTTAACCTCACTGGATATGATCTCTGCAGAGAGCTGGAGAATTTTCTAAAACGTGAAGAAGTGACCGCTTTGGTCACGGACACCTGAATCAAGCTCGTTAGCTCTTGGCAGCACTGTCCCTTAGAGAGCATTTACTTTTAATGGCCTTTGCCATCCTTCAGAAACCACTCTCTCCTTCACTTTTTAGCAGCCTTCCCTCCACCTGAGTTTTTTTTTTTTTTTAAGATTTTATTTATTTATCTGTTTGTTTGTTTGTTTGTCAGAGAGAGAGAGGCAGGCAGAGGGAGAAGCAGGCTCCCCGATGTGGGACTCCGTCCAGGACCCTGGGTTATGAGACCTGAGCCAAAGGCAGACGCTTAACTGACTGAGCCACCCAGGTGTCCCTCCCAGCTCCACCTGAGTTTCCGGTGCTTTCAAGCTCATCCCTGGCCAGAGTCCCATGCAGAGTGCTGGAACCCCGTGTTCCCTCCCCAGGCACCAGCGCATATTAGGGACCTTTCCTTTCCCTCGTCAAAACTTAAAACCGCTTCTGGGTCCGTTTCACAAAAGACCTTACTGATTAAGGATTTCAGTCAACTAATTTGAGCAAAATGGTAATAGCTCCATTTGTCTCTCTCTTAGTAGATAATGTTTTAATTTTAAGAGAGGCCTTCAATGTATTAAGTCAAATGACTAATAGTGTGTGGGGGTGGGGGAGATTTTGCTAATCCCATCACATAAGCAGCTGCTTTGAAAATATCCCCATGTTCGGTGGTTTTATGCAAATTATCGCTGTAAATGTATGAAAGTAAATGTTTCGTATCTGGCAGGAGATGCAAAATGGGCTGGGAGTATGTGATGAAATTACGTGTTTATAATTATTTAATGGTTACCTTTGTACAGAACATGTGTTGATCCTATTATCAAAATAAATCAGATCCATGGGGGAAAAAAAGATGTTTGACAAATTTAGCTTGAGGTGTTGAATTGAATTAATCCGAAGCCCACTCACCACACCACTGTCCTAGAGCATGAAAGGGACAGCTCATGGGCTCTTTTTTTTTTCCCAGCTAAGAATTGGAGAGGAGGAGAGGGGGAATGACTCCAGATACTTTCTACAGAGAGAAGCACAGAGCCCCGTCTGTTTCAGAAGGAAAAAAATCACAGAAGGGAGATTTTGTTGCACAAGAGAATTGTCGCTTCTGCAGAAGGGAATCTTCATACTGCTCTCAAAAGAAGCAGCTAGTTGTCTGAAATCCAGAGGTTTACCAAGGCTTTTCTAACCAGGGGGCTCTTAACAGGATGGTGAGAAGAAAGGTAGCTTGGCATGGGCTTATCAATAGGACATTGTTCTCAAACTAGTTGTGAACAGACCATTTCATGGCTTAAGAGACAGTGGTTCACAATAAATATGTTCCCTCTATGAAGAAACAGCACGTTCCTGGTATGTTACCCTCCTCTGATCTATATTTTGGTATTGCTTTCTATTAATTTTGTAATTTATCCCAATTGCTGTTTGTTACAAGACACACATAATCGTTGATATTTATATTACATTGGTAAATATTTTCCTGGAGTTTTATTTTTTTTTT